ACAGCCTAATGATTTATTAGCCATCAAGGAGACACTGAATATCCCCAATTACCTTGTAAAAAGGATTAATAGACTTGATTGCTGAGTTAACATCTCTCAGGCCTTCACAGTGTCCACCGCTTTTTATTTATTTTTAAATAAATCATGACATCAGCATCATATTATGCCTTCCAAAAGGCTTATGATTGAGAGGTCAGTCAGACATTGGCTCCAAGAGGCTACCCTCAGGAGCAAAAAAAATATCAAGATGAAAGCATGAGACTCAGAGACAACAGAATGAATGAATCCCTGGCATTTAGTAAAAACACATTAAAGGTAAACTTTCTCAATCTGTTGGGCAAAAATCCAGAATCTCAAGCACATTTCTTAGTATACTACATATCACAGTTTTGAAACTGTAAGGATGATATTTTTAAAGGTATGATGTTCAATTTGGATCTACAGTTTCTTGGACCTAAGTTCAATTTGAAATTTGGGGACTCAGCCAGGTGAATATTTTCTGGTCATGCAGGGAATGATTTTTTTTTGCAAGACGTCTGTTGAGCTCTGTGATGTCTTAAGATCCTTTTTGTATATTTTACTCCAGTCAAATTGGCAATACCAATTTTTATTTATTTAATGTAGTCCATGTGTTTTGCAACTGTATGCACAATGGAGCATAAGTACTCTGGTTTCCCTCCAAGGGAAAAAATATTTCACCTCTCACAGATGTATGCCTAAAAGACAGCCAACATGAATGAATACATACTAGTACACAAATCAGGGGCATGTCAAGGGTTTTCAAATGGGGGGGGTCTGCAGGCTGAAGTGTCAAATGGGGAGGGGGGGGGATTAACAGGGAAACTAGACAAAATAGAGGCAAGGGTGAGAGGTGATAGTCACAATGGGGAGGGGAGAGTTTGAACCCCCAAAGCCCCCTGTAGACAGATTCTTGACACAGATCAATATAAATTGTCTCAACCTATCACAAGAATCCCAAGGAACTCAAACATTATGCCAGGGAGATTACACATCATGTGGTTTGGAAGCTGCTACAACTTTTTGTGCATTTTATAAGCCTATATTAGGAATGAATATGAAATCGACCTCCTTGCATTTTCTTTCATGAAGAGTAAGCCAGATGAATATATCTTTCACACTGAGGTAGAAGGTTGTCATAGTCATCAAGAACAGATGCAAGAATGGTTCAAGTAGTTTCTTCCGTGTGCTGATTTATGTAGCAAACTTCATGAAGTCCCAGGTTTCCTGCTTTTTTATTTTGTCAAATCAAGCATACCACTCACATAGCCAGTTTTTTGCCTGTCTTCAAAAAGGCTTATGATTGCAAGAATTTGCAGGTTTAGAGTCACTCTGGTTTCCCCTCAGTTGCAATAAATTTTCCACCTTTCACAGGTATTGGACTATCAGATTAAAACATAGCAGAATGGAAAATGGCAAGTCATCTTGCACAAACACTTCACACACTAAAGTTCTATTAATCAAATGAGAATCCCCCAGACTTCAGGCATTGTGCTTAGCAAGCAGACTACAAGTTATGAGCTTTCAAACAAAAGAAATGACTGTTTCCTCTAGGTGTGCTTCATGTCTAAAAAATGGCATGTAATTTTACCACCAGTAAAGACTCCTAACCTTATTGCATTAGATCCTGGAGCTACTAAAAGAAACATTCCTGTACAGATTTAATCATGCTGGGCTACTTTATCTAAGGAAGTAAGTCAGCATGAAGCACTCTTCACTTCTCTTACAAGAAGCACTTTTCTCAAGCTTTGGCCCCTATGCCATAGATGTTTATTTCAAACTTTAATCTTATCAAGGTAGAGGATCTGCAGAATCAACAATTTTGGAACATCAAACCCTACAATGAGAAACTTTCTAGGGCAAGAGGTTTTCTTCAAATACCATAACTTCAACATCAACCTGTAATACAGTAGGACTAAGCTGCCTCGTTCAACATTACATTGTAACCTTGGCTCTCACTACCAATATCATTGCTAAAAACAGAATCAAAGACACTAATATTACGTGAACATCTCACTCATCCTTGAATTCAACATTAAAATGTATATGCAATTGAAAAATAAGCATAAAATCCAAATTTTATTTTATTTAGGCTTTAATATATTCTTTAATTGAATCAATGCACTGGCTTCCTGCAGGAACAAAATCTAGATGATGAAAATACAAAGTTTCAATGGCAGCTCCAAGGTAGATGAAATGGGACAGCACATAAAGCATTGTGAAAGTAACACAATCCCATAAGTTACCAGAATGCAAAGTGCATACCAAAAATGTTTAATTCAGTTACATTGTCATGCAATATACCATCCCAATTAGTTTGACTATTGTATAAGCAAAGTAGGACCTTCAAACATAATGAAACTTACTTTTAAAAATGAGTTTGTTAGCAGCAGCACCTGAAGCCAGTTCCACAACCTGCCCAGCATCCATATGACATTTTTAATTAGCTTAGCATCCCAATAATGCAGTTTCTAAATGGTGACAGTGCAAGCAGAAATAATAAGCAGGATGGTGAGGATATGTTCTGGAACAGATGGTGAACCCCAAAGAGGAATGATCTGCAGCTTGAATCATTGCAAACAAAATGCATTGACCTACACCTCTGAAACAATTGAAGTCAGCTTCATGCTAGAAAATGTGTATATAAAACAGAACCTAAATCCTCAAAAGCTGAACAGGTTCTCACTGCAGAAAAGGATTGAAAATGTGCATTCTATACTTCAGATGGCTTTTCAATCTCCAGGTGTACTGTAGCAGAAGTAAGTAAAAAAATTCACACCCCAAAAGTTATGTGCATTCCACCTCATGGTCAGAGGCATTTCTAGCAGTATTCCATTTCAGTCAGATCATGGGAGAAAAAAGTAGCTTAGAAAATGATGAAATGCCAGCATATGAACTCCTCCCTCCAAGTTCTGGTTGAGATCTGAAAGAAATTCTAGCTTTGATTAATACAATCAACTTCAGTTCAAAGATGGAACTCATCAGTCTTTGTATACAGAGGCAACAAATGTAGTAAATGAGATACTATCTATATTATATAAATATTAAAATACAGTAAAAAAAAATATATATATATATATGTTAACATAAATAAGAGCAAAAAATCAGAACAAGCAAAGCACCAACCAATCCAGCCACAATGAAGAGAGCACAATAATTAACCCTATAACTGCCAACTGTAGATAAAATCGATGGTTGGCAGTTCTGGGGCTAAAAAGTAATTCTTTCAATATCTTATGCATTACCTTCAAAATGAATACTGCTTTGGAAATTTCTTCCTCTCTGAGTTACTAAGTCCTACAGCAGGAATCCATCCATCACCAACTGTCAGGCACAGTTCACTCAGAAAGTACTGCTAATCGCTGGATCTGGTGCTGTTGGAACTTCTTACAAGATCCCTCCCTGGACAAGTGCAGACTTCACGGTTCAAATAAAGACATGAGAGCAGTGCCAGCCTTCATGCTCATTCGTCTTATGTGAACAGTGAAGATCTGGCAGAGTCCAGTTGACTCTTCAGAGACCCCATGCTTTCAAGGTATTTTAGAACAACTTTTGGAGACTCCAACTTCATTTTGAACTTCCAAGTCTTTCACACCATGAGAAAATCATGACTGAGACCTCAAACAAACTCTTCTGAGACCTTAAACTCCTCTATGCGAGACCTCAACTAAAGGAAGACTCTTTCCATTATGATATCCATATCAAAGAGACAAAGACCATATCTTACTCCAATCCCCACTGAATAAATTCAATGGATAATGCAGATGTCAAGAGCAACACGCATTCCATATGAATTCCAGCAGTGGTGACTGGATTTCAGTCTTAAAATAAAAATCTATATGTTTATTACTTTGAAATCAAAGAGTCATATGAAATCATGAATCATTTCAAGTTTGAGAGAATAAACTGGGAATGTGCAGGTTTGGAAACTGTCTCCATCTAAATGCTCCCAACAGCACTCCTGAACATGGTAATTGCATGCAGAAATCATTCATTCAGAGACAGTATGCCAGCTTTCACCAGCCTCTCACTAATAAATGCTAAAAATAATTGGAAAATAAAACTCTGGGTTTGCTAACTGTGGGGTCTCTGATCCTCTTCATGACTCAAATCTCACAAAACCAAGTCCAGGATGCATTGGATACATGTTCACCTGCACCCATAAGGATCTTAGTCAAGTAAGAAATGACCAATGAGGGCTAGAGAGGGAGGGATTTTCACTAAGATGGACTGTAGATGACAGAATGTCCACCAATTGCATAAGAATGAGAACAAGAGCAAGTATACTGACCATCCTGCTTTCCAGTCCCATGCTCATGGTGGACACACTATTTCAAATCCCAAGCCAAGTGTTTGATTTAGCACACTTTTCTAATTTAGATTACTACTGCAAGATACATCATCAAAGCCTTAATTAGTTGATGCTCAGCTTGTTTCTTTTCCAAAGACCTTAGGGTAACAAGGATGGGAAATATTATGGTTTCCCAGGCAAGAAAGATACCTTCTGCCCTTGTTCATGTTGTGTAAACACAGTGTTTCTCATTTAAGTCATATGTTTTTCCACTAGACACAAACACCCACACTTGCAAAGCATCCTATTCCATGTGCATCTGAGTGAAGTGGAAAATGTGTCGTGAAAAACACAGACCGAGCATTGAAAGAGCATAACAAACAGCATGTGACTCCACATAAGCTTGTGAATGATGAAAAGCATATTAAAACTTCCCCTAAGGTCAAAATATTTCATTTCCAAACAATGGTATGAAGGCAAATCACAGTTTAAAGGAAAGGGAGTAAAACCACTGGAGCAATGAATGCTGTTCATCACTAAACAATAATCAAGAGAAAATGATCACATATCAAGATGCGAGATCTCCACCAGATCCACAGTAGAATACACTCCATCATGCTTTTAGAATGCATTGCATGACAACAGGACATGAAAGACATCAGCACCCAAAAGAAGTAACATCACTGCTGGATCACACAGGATCAAACAAAGGCAATGACAAGATTTCTTTGGCTTCAGGGCGCTCAAGAGGGTCCTTTGCAAGCATTCTTTTGATGAGGTCCAGCTGGAAAGTCAAACAAAGCACCAATTATATGCAAAAAAGTAATTCCAGTAAGGAATTAACTTATCACTATGACAACTTAGTTTGCTGAACCAACCTCAACAGGGTGGCCATCTAACTCTTGCGGGAATAGTGATTGTCGAGCTTCAGAGAATGTGATGCTTCTCTCCATCTCAGTACCAAAAGGCAAGATCATCTCCAGGTAAATTAACCCAAGTGTGTAGATGTCAGAGTGATGACCAATGGGAAGGTGCTGCAGCTAAATAAAGAAAAGTTACATCATATTTGATTAACAATAGCAGAACCAGTCACTTTTCCAAAAATAAGTAATGAATTAAATAATATGAATAAGAAAATTAAGTGTCTCCTGAAGAAGAGGTTTGATCCTGTAAAAGATGAAAGAAAGGAGTAAGGAAAAAGCAACCAAATACTTGAACCATTTGTAATGGTTGCCTTTGTCCACAACTGGCACAAGTTATTTTTAAGGTGTCCCACACCTGTACCTCCTGGACAGGGCAACATATGTGCTATCCCACACTGAGCAGACACTTCCCATGAAAGGAAATTGGTTACCTGGCAGCATAGGAAGAGCCTGCTGCCACCCAGGTTTCAGCTTTTCATTATAACTTAAATATTTAGTCACTTTACTTAGCATTTTCAAATGCAACACTTCCTTGCTCACATTCAAAGAGGTATGTCATTACCAAATATCACCAAAGAACATTCAGAATTGTGGAGAATTTATGAAACAGCTCATTAGGGCTTCACCTACAAATAACTTTAAAACAAAGCTCTTCTTTTCCTGGATTTGATCCCAGAGCTACATTCATGCAATATTTTATCACATGCCTCTCATAGTTTCCAATAACTTTTGAAACATATGCCCACCTATCCATAGATTCAGGAATGAGAAAAAAAAAAAACAACTAAACACTTGAGCAGCAGTGGATAGCAGAGACTAGGGATGGGTTATTTACCAGTCAATTAAATACATGTCAATTGACAGGTCAATATTGTCAACTATGGTCTATAAGCCCAACTTTTAATTTTTTTTCCAGCACAGTTTGTGCTCCATTTTATTGTCATGATTCACAAGTGATGCACTAGGCATGGGAAGTTGAATGGTCAACATGATCATTTATGACCATTTATGAACAATAATGGTCAACAAGCTCAACAAGAGGTTAGACCTAATGACTGTATACAATAAAAAAAATGACCATGTTGACCAGTCAACATCTCATCACTAAGATGGACTTTACCATACAGATTGCAAGAGTTTGAACATGAAGTACAGGATTAAATACCCCCAGTTTGGACGGAGACTGAGACCAAGCAAATGGCACCAATGAGGTCAGGGATGTTAGGGGTTTTCTAGCATGCACCTTCTCTTTTGAAATACTCTACAACCAGTAGTCACAAACCACCAGGTTTAACAGCAGTTATTGAGAAAGGTCAAGGCTTTCGAATGATACAAAAATTCTTTCGCATCAAGAAAAAAATTGACATAATAATCTACAAAACTTGGGGCAGGGTTTCTGGGACACCCTGTAATTATCAGTCATGTTTCAGAGATAAGTTCTGTGACTAGTTAGCTCCCTAAGTACTCTGATTAATGAGGAATACAACACATAGTATCCAGAACCGGAGTTCCTTGGTTTCTGGTATGAGTATTTATTCCTATTTCTGTTCCTGTCAAAAAAATAAACCTTCAAGGTTTCTTTATTACTTTCACTTTTTTAATTACTTTTTCAAGGCACAGACCTAGGCATAATCCAAGTAAGTTTACTTGTTCCTTGACCACCAGCCTCTGAGAATAATTGGATGCTCTAATGTAGACTATTGGCCAGGACCATGATAGACCTTGCATTAAACTCATGTTATAAAGCTGCTAATTAGATCTTGAATCTCAACTTTCAAAGCCATTAAGGCTGTAAGACCTTGAACAGCAGGCTATCTTGTATAAACACACTACACCACTCAGGTAGTTTGAGCATTAGCTATATGTTCATACCAAATGGGTACCACAGTCCAAATGTTTGGCAGGCTGCATGAATATAACTTTAAAATGGGACTGGCTCTCTGGTTTTTGTGCTGGAGAATAAATGACTGCAGTTATGAGCTCTATACAATTGAATTGAATAAAAAAAAAGAGCAGTCAATAACTGTCAATTGAAAGGTGGTCAATAGACCTGGCCAAATAGACCACCCCATCCCTACCAGAGACCTATTCTCTTTCCTGAAATGCTCTACAAATACCCTTCAAGAAGTCACATTTTATGCAAAGAATCAATAACATGAAGACAGCTTTCAAAAGGCTGTGTTAATTGCTATCCTGATGACAAAGAGTTCCCATAGAGATGAGGGAACAAAAAATATATTCATTAAAGTGTACAAGGGAAAGCTTTCTCTTTTAATGCAGAAAGGTATAAGATAAGATCTTGACACTATTGTAGGAATGAGATATAGGTTTAGGTTTCCAGAATATGATAAACAAACCTGCTCTGGACTCATGTAGAGCCTTGTGCCCACAGGATTAGTGTATTGACCAACAGGATTAGATGTACTTCTTCCAGTCTCCAAGGCAGGAGCATCCAACACCAGACCAAAGTCACTCACTTTAACTTGCCATTGTTCATCAAATAAAATATTGGAAGGCTGCAAAGATACATACATGTAAAATCGTAATAATAAAAAATGAATGTGATGGTGACCTGACATAAATCTCACCTTGAGATCTCGATGAATTAGGCCTTGGGAATGGATGTACCTTACAGCATCCACTATTTGATGGAAAATGTGGTTCATTTGCTGCACCCTCACTTCAGGTTTCTTTACCTTGGTGAGCCAGTCCTTCAATGTCTCTTGACAACAAAGCTCCATTTGAATGTATAAAAATATCACAGATGTGGAGGCAGGAGTTGACACAGGCAGATCTTGCTCACTTTCACTATGAGTCTCTATAGGGGTTGAGATCTGCTCTATGCTTTGAATGTTGCCATCAGCTCCATCATAATCAAATATCACTCCTCCATCAGATGTCACAGAGTCATTATTTGGCAGAGGCACTCTCATCTGAAGTCCCTCACTAGTCTGTGAGATAGCCAACTGAGTGTTCCTCGATGTGAAGACAGAACTAGTCTGTTCCTCCTCTTTGGACAGGGCATCACTAAATAAAGAACAAATTGATACAACCTATGACACCAAGCCTACCTTCCCAATACAGGGTGTCCCAAAAATCCTAGTAAATTTTAGATGTTGTATGTGATTGTGTGACGAGTCTGTGTATTGTAAATAATTAATGAACAATAAAAGTCACAGTACCGTGAATAATACAAAATATTTTGGGAAGAGTCAAAGAGTCTACAAGTTTTACAGTAGTTTCCCCATTGATGCACATTTCTTATCTGCTAAAGACACATCTGCAAACATGTACACTCATGTCTTGAGGTATCACAAAATGCAGAAACAATTTCATCTGTAAGATTAGGCACATGAACCAGTTTGACTTTGTAAACCTATTCACTGATGTATTTCAGCAACAAAAAAATCAATAGGCATCAAGTCCAAGGACTTCAATAGTCATTCAGAAGGTCCCTGCCTGCCAATCCATTGCCCTGGTAATACCTCAAAAAGGTAGACTCTTTCCAAATGTTGAAAGTGGGAAGGAAAGAACATGGTCTCAATTCTATTGCCTTGCAGAAAGCAGGAATAACATTCTTGTAGAAGGTGAAGATAAGATTCAGTTTACTAAGTATGAGGGGTGATAAAAAATTTATGGGACTGAATTTATTATGACTAGGAAGCAATTTTTATGCACTTATAAGTCCT